ACTCTGCACAGCGAATCGCGGCGCCTTAGACGACTGGGCCACCCGTGCCTCCCTGGCGCAAGTGAACGGCGATTTGATAGTCTGCTTGGGCTCCATTTCGTAAAGCCTGTTTTTTTAGTTATCGATCATGCACTTGCATTAACCTATTCATATTCATTCATTTACTCAAAACCATCCACGGTGGTACAAGAGTGCAATATATAATTAACATAAGATAAATAAACATAGAACAATTTAAGACATTGATTAGATACATTGCAGGTTAAAATTAACATCAGAATGAAGAGTTTTAGAACTCATGAGTGTAGAGGTACCTTTACATAAATTTCGCAAGTGTTTAGTGCTGTTGTTAGTCTTGCTACTTAATGGGTATTGGGGACTTGTAATAATATACGGGGATGTGTAGAGATCTATAGAGAGCAAAGAATTCACATTTAAATGAATAATGATATTCATCTGCTACTACAGGGAAGGTGGTTGACATGTTTTTTACATCTACTGGGAATCTATGATTACAACTTGGGCGGTCGGGTAGCTTAGTGGTTAAGGCGTTCGCTTGTCACGCCGGGGACCCGGGTTGGATTCCCGACATGGGTACAATGTGAGAAGCCCATTTCTTGTGTCCCTCGCCGTGATATTGCTGGAATATTGCTAAAAGTGGCGTAAAACCATACTTACTCACTCACTCACTCACTCACTCACTATGATTACAAGTTCTCAACATTAATAGATAGGTAGATATGTTTCGATTAAATAAGAGGTACTTTTTCAATCATTAACATTTTGTGTCTGCAGAAACCTGAGACACATTAAACACATTGGCTACCTCTCAAGGCGTCCTTCGCGTTTAAGACAACGCATGCCCGATATCATTTCAAATACTGCATTAAAACAAGGCTATAAAATCAACAATACTTTTTGCGGAGAGCGATTTGAATCCCTTTCACTGAAGTGTCATGATTTGGTTCCGAGACCGTTCTATCTCTGGCAGATGATCCCCTTACTTTGTTTTGAAAATAAATAAATATATATATATCTGCTAACAATTTGAACCATACTTAAGTAGATATAAAACTGACAACAAATCTTGAAATATGGCACTTCAACACCCCAAGAATTAGCCTTACATAAAATTATGATTAAAGTTGAGCTACATTTGATCGAGGGAACTTCAAACATAAGACACAAACTCAACTGAGTACTAAACTGCAATGGTTGTAGAAGATGTTTACAAAGATGACAGCTTTCCGATTTATCTGCGTGAGTGTCGTCATATGTCGAGCCCTCTATCTGCATGTATGTGACATAAATGGCAATGGAATTTTCTGCAGCGGTCAAATCTTAAAGGTGAAATGTTTGCATGCTTCTTATTTAAATTCACATTGACATGTGTATCAACAATCTGGATAATATAAGTAATGTGTCATTGGCTACATGTAAATATCAATAACTAAAAAAGTATTTATCAGTAGCATTCAAAAAGAGAACAGCCTTGCTAATAGTATTGTGCTATTGTTTACTTTTTAATAGTATTAGTGAGCTGTCCGTCATGTAAACTCCTTCATCATAAATAATAATAGTGTGTTCCTTAACCAAGACATTGCTGCAATTGTGCCGGTCATAGAGGTAACTTACCATACTTCTAGCTGAGATTATCGGAGATTTTTTAAATTCAAACATTTGAAATATGTCTACATAGAATTCTGAAGTAAATACCCTAAATTGTTAAATATGTTTTGAAATTTGTCCAACGTCATTGTCCCTATTCAATTTGCTGACCGCGTTTTATCATTAACACTATATTGCATATTTTGGTGTTCGGTAACCAAGGACTTGCAAGCCTAGGGGGAACAATGATAACAATTTAATGTTTTGTAAGTTCGTGTATTTGTGAGGTACCCCATCCATGTGATATTGATCAGGGAATATTCCGATGTCACTAACTAAGTGGTTTGGGCCATCTTCTCAAGGTAATTGATATAAGCTTCAAGGAGACTGTAAATATCATTATAACTTTAACAGTTAGATTACGTTCGAAACATTGCGTTAAACAACAGATCGATAAGTTACTCACAACGTATGTCATCATGCTTAATGACAATATTACTTAGCTTCCGATGTTAATAGGTAGAGTATTGATTAACACCGCAGTCGACAATAGTCCCGCCATTCTTTCACAGCTCTCCCATGACAGTTGCGGTGTAAAACAAAAGCGACAAAACCCTTTCCATATTCATAAGAAGTCTCAGCCAAAAGTTTATGGTTATATCTGCCAAAGGGTATTGCTGAGATCTGGAGATCTCGACGGCCAGGGCAAGCCGTTGATGTTGGCATTATGACGGAAGTCTACCGTGACACGAGCTGTATGCGGTGGAGCGTTGTCCTGTTGAAACAGCTCCCTCTGGTGGTCAATGATTGGAAGAAGGTGAGGTTGAAGAATTTGATTCATGTAGCGATTTGCTGTCAAATTTCCCTGAACCCCAACTAAGTCAGATCTCGTGGTGTTGGTTATGGCCCCCACACCATGACACTACCGCCACCGAATTTTTCGAATTCACGCACACAATCAGGGTCAAAAGGCTCATTTCGACGGCGATAAACACGTTGTCTTCCATCTCGCAGGTGAAGGAAAAATCGTGATTCATCGCTAAACCACAGTCGTCTCTAGTTTCTCAAATTCCAAGGCTGATAGGTATGGCACCAACGCAAGTGTCGTTGTCGGTGGATCTGTTGCAAAACAGGGACGATAGTCTTCTGGGTCGGATTCCAGCATCGCGAAGATGGTTCCTGACAGTCTGGTCCGATATCTTCCTCAAACCAGGGATGCGCCCTGGAGTCTCCGTAGCTGTGGCATTGCGTTGACGTAGGTGGAACAGTCGAATGTAGCGATCCTGTGCAGGGGTGGTAACTCTTGGTCGGCCGGTTCTCGGACGGTCTGCAGTGGAATTGAACTGTGTGTATCGGTCACAAAGTCGGCAAATGGTGCTGTTGTGGACGTTGAAGTGGCGTGCAACAGAAGACTGCGATTCCCCTCTTTGGATACGTCCTATGGCGATGTTCCGATCGGCAGCGCTGAGTCTCGGCATTTTCGAACTTGAAAAATGTTGACAATTGAATGACAAATTATTGGCTGATGCTTGCCTTTGTCTAGCCACTACCACGAGTTACGAATGCCATAACTTGCACGTGCATTTTGCTTTACTGTTTTCCTCCATCACATTTTTGAACAAGTGTGAAAACAATGCCGTTTCAGACATTGCAAATCGACAATGGCTGCGTTTTGACGCACCGTTTGTCGAATATCAGGCCACCAACATTTTACGATAACAAATATCCAATTTATGTACCGGATTTTTGTGTAGACAGGTTCAATGAACTACATACTACCTGTGCGTTTCTTATTTTTAAAGAGTTATATTTAGTATAAATAGCATACAATGTTCTGTTGCATTTTGTGTAAATTGACGTGCCTTCTGAAATGTTAAATATTTTCGTGTTGGCCGAGAGGTTATGCGTTCGCTTGTCTTGCCAAAACCCGGTTTCGATTCCCAACATGTTTTTGATATTGCTGTAACGTTACTTAAAGCGCCGTAAAACCAACTAGTATGACATAGTATATGTTATAATTGATATGTTGATGTATGTTCCTGTTATTTACATTTCAAAACTGTTTTCCATAATAAGGAGACCCGTGAAGATCCGGGGTAGAATAGATCTTCAGCAACCCACAGCCATGCTTGCCGTAAAAGGCGACTAACGGGATCGGGCGGTCAGGCTCGCTGACTTGGTTGATGCATGTCATTGATCCCAACTGCGTGATATCAAACACTGAATTGCCAGGTCCAGACTCGATTATTTACAGCCCGCCGTCATATAGCTGGACTATAGCTGAGTGCGGCGTTGGGCGTCAACCTTGGAATCACTACTGACTCTTCAATCAATGTGAGGAATATCCACCCCTCTCACGGGTGACATTCGCGAGGAATCTCCCCATACTGCGGATCAGACGTCTGATTTACAACACTGGGATCATCAGCCTATCCTGGTGCAGTGCCCGGGTCAGATCATTCAGGGTTTCAACTGGAGGGTCTCTAGCTCTCACTGGGCGGCAGTACGTACTACAATGTGGTGATAATTTAGGGTTCCACTTTTTTGTGATCTTTCGGAATTGTTTTTTGTATCAAGTGGTACTAAATTAATGCTCATGTGTACTTATCATAGTGTAATTCAGCTACAGCACGGCGTGTCAGCTTAGTGTTCATGAAAAACCCATCTTCCCGGGGCAAGAGAGTTAACTGACTTTAAAAGTCCAGTTTCCACCCTTGCCGAACTATGCTGGAATTCCTGGGCTCGATCGTAGCGCCACCAGAGGCTAATGTCCCTTCTAAACCTCTCCTATGGACCTATCAGATTCCACCTCTCGTATCACTTGCATTTACTTCAAACAAAACGGCGGCACCCAGTCAAGACGATCTGATCGATAATCAAAATCTATATATTGTGATAATGCGGGTCTTACATCGCGAAGTGCATCAAATCACGGGAGCACCTTGATATAAACTTGAACAGATTTAGAAAATATCTTTTGACAACGAGTTAGCGGTGCACATGCTTTGCAAATCCTGCAATCGATCGAAATCTGCATGACAGTTTACGAACCGGATCTCGATTTCGGAGCGCGATTTTGATTGGACTATGCAAAGACTCGTTAGTCCAGCCAACATGTAACTCCATAATACCAGCCTAGTTCGGCAAGGGTGGAAACTGGACTTTTATAGTCAGTTAACTCACTTGCCTCGGGAAGATGTGGAAAACCTGACCTTACCCACTTCTCGGCGGAAACCACCTAAGCTAAGGTATGGTGCGGAACGACTAGGGTTCATAACTGACGCGAATCTGGGACTCGAATCCCGACACACATAAGGGAGACAACACAGTGTATTGCTTGCATCACTCGTCGCGCCGTATTTTGATCCTGAAGAACAAGACAACTCTGTGCAGGAATGCAATTTGTTATTTTATCGGTCTAAATGTTCTCATAATTAAGATGACAGTAGCTTCCACACACATCAGGACAACATATGCCTCCGCCATAACGAGAGTGACAATCTTTGTCCGACGTACAATTTTCCTGTTGATAGCTGTCACGTATCGGGCATACTTTTATCTGCTGTGGTTTGGGGCACTGCTCTGAAACAAAATGATACAATGCCATGGACTCTCTGTTCACGAAGCGGTGGGTAACTATGTGGTTAAAGCGGTCGCTCCTCGCGCCCAACACCTGGGTTATATTCCCCACAATGTCGTTTGTTTGTTTGTTTGTTTGTTTGTTTGTTTGTTTAACGCCGCACTCAGCAATATTCCAGCTATATGACGGCGGTCTGTAAATAATCGAGTCTGGACCAGACAATCCAGTGATTGATATCATGAGCATCGATCCACGCAGTTAGGATCAATGACATGCATCGACCACCTGGTCCCACTAGTAGTAGTAGTAGTAGTAGTAGTAGTAGTAGTAGTAGTAGTAGGGGTAGTAGTAGTAGTAGTAGTAGTAGAAGTAGTAGTAAAAGCGAAACAATATGTTCAATAAAAATAGTAAAGTCATCTCATACTCTGCACACTCGTTAAATTTGCAATGAGTAACTCGATCCTACTCTCTCGATGGCAAAGATATCGAGAATGAATCACTCACTTTGAAGTTGTCGTGTAGATGATGACACACGTCTCAGGCACTTGGTGGTGCACGTTGATGACAGGCAGCAGTAGAATCCTACCATACAAAAGTCATACAGAAACACAGATCATACAATTCAAAATGACGCATCGCTAACACGTGCAACAAGGTAGTTCTGTCAGACAAACCTGAAGTGTCAACATCACAGAAGAGTTTCAGATATGATCTTTGCGTTGTTTCCTCCCAGTGTATCCCCACGTCACACGTTTTCGAGCATCACCTCTTTTCGAGCCCCTTTACAGTACGTGACAACGCGCTTAATGACGTAATCAAGGTAGACACTTCAAAGCCCACTGAAGCCAACTTGGCTGAAGTTAGGTTTGTTTGTTTTGTTTGTTTGTTTGTTGTTTAACGCAATATTACAGTTATATGACGGCGGGCTGTAAATAATCGAGTCTGGACCAGACATTCCAGTGATTGACATCATGAGCATCGATCCACGCAATTGGGATACGATAACATGCATCAACCAAGTCAGTGAGCCTGACCCCCCGATCCTGTTAGTCGCCTCTTACGACAAGCACAGTCGCCTTTTACGGCAAGCATGGGTCGCTGAAATTAGGATGCAAATTTAGCTACACGAGGAAAGATATTCAATAAGTAATGAAAACATACCTCACAACTTACTTTTTCACAAATGCACATTTTTATCAAACTTGGTATGATGATAATTATGGGTCGCCCCGATTATGTTTCAAGGTTTGTCAGCACTATACCCGTGCTCGTGGGTTTCACCGAAGTGGTAAACGTCTAAGACCTGCACTACTTCAGGCTTTACTCCTACATTAAGCTGACACGCCGCGATATAACTGGAATACTGTTAAAAGCGGCGTTAAACCCAACTCACTCACTTATTTTAGAGTATCGGGATTGTTATAAGACACGTAATGAGAAATAATTCTGATGGGCACGAAAACCCATCACACGAGGATACAAGGACACGAATCAAAGACAAGTGTCGCCTCATCAATCAGATGGGACGCAACACTTAATCAAAACAGTTAATACTTTGTGATGATAATATATAACCCCTCAAGCTGCCACATTGATAGTACTTTTATTTCGTGGTAAAGACACCTCTGTGTCTATTTTTTCCTGTGACCTTGTGAGATGAGTGACTGTTTCTGACCTGATCCAGAGACAGCCAAAAATACACATATGATTCGAGTTAGGATACCATTAATCTTTAGTGGTCATGACTTTGTTTTGAATAATTATCCCCAAGAGAATGGACAAAACTTGGCCTGCTTGCACAAAGTGGTCAATGTTGTACCACTGTAGTAAAACATGTTTAATCATAGTCGTAACACTACATTCGTTTGGTACAAGGAGGCCCAATATCTCAGTAGCCAATACATATTGTTAAATCCATCGGATGGTTATGATTGAAGTATATGTTACAATGGGGCAGGGGCCACAGGTGGCCCAGTCGTCTAAGGCGCCGCGATTCGCTGTGCAGAGTTGCGTCCCTTGGGCACGCCAGCAACCTATGGTTGTGGGTTCGAATCCCGGTTCGCACCGATGATGTTTCAAGGTTTGTCAGCACTATACCCGTGCTCGTGGGTTTCACCGAAGTGGTAAACGTCTGAGGCCTGCATCACTTCGGGCTTTCCTCCAACATAAAGCTGACACGCCGCGATATAACTGGAATACTGTTCAAAGCGGCGTTAAACCCAACTCACTCACTCACTCACTCGAAGCAGAATGACTGAATGGTCCTACCTGGCTTGCAGCTGTCGTTCCTCCAACACTCATGTCTACTGTGGATATCAGGCTTGCAGGTATGCAGATACGGACAGTAGTAAACACGGCTTTCAACTCCTGCATCACAAAATAGTTTAGCATTCACTGTGAAGGGATGTGAGGAATACCAACACAACGGATGGTAGGCTTATCCCCCTGGATGCCACAGGCACATACTTATATGTCACTTATACCCTCACTTTGAAGTCGAATACAATCAAAGTACATCATGCACACAGATACACTTGACAGTGGGTAATAAATACTTATATGTCACTTATACCCTCACTTTGAAGTCGAATACAATTCAAAATACATCATGCACACAGATACACTTCACAGTGGGTAATAAATACTTATATGTCACTTATACCCTCACTTTGAAGTCGAATCCAATTCAAAGTACATCCTGCACACAGATACACTTGACAGTGGGTAATAAATACTTATATGTCACTTATACCCTCACTTTGAAGTCGAATACAATCAAAGTACATCATGCACACAGATACACTTCACAGTGGGTAATAAATACTTATATGTCACTTATACCCTCACTTTGAAGTCGAATACAATCAAAGTACATCATGCACACAGATACACTTGACAGTGGGTAATAAATACTTATATGTCACTTATACCCTCACTTTAAGTCGAATACAATTCAAAATACATCATGCACACAGATACACTTCACAGTGGGTAATTCCCTGTTCTGTGATATCACCCACTGTCATTTTAGACATTTTTTACTGAAAATGACCTCTGAAAATAAATCAGGTACATCGTTAAAGTCGCCATTTTAACACATTACTAAATCACCCCTCACGACGTTATTTACAGCATGTTTTGAAATCTAAATTTCGGATATTTACTCGGAGAAATGAATTTCAAAAATAGCATAATAGTGATCACGGGTATCTTTTATCAAATTACCAATGATTATTCAAAAATGTGGCCAATAACCCTAGCATCGTTTAAAATCGTTTCAGATCCTATGAAATGTGCGTAGGAAATAAACATTCGGCACTCAGCGTGTTAAATATTGAAAATCATTAATAACAACATTTGGACATACAAATATCTTCCACATCAACCGATTTTTAAACCTCCATGTATCTTGCGAAAAACCATCTCCAAAATGCGAACCTAACACCAACTTCATTGAACGTGATGGAAAATGGAGTCAGAGGTAAAGCAGAGGTTGATAAGGCAGATATGACAGAGTTATTATTCTTTACCGTTTGATCAGGACATGCTGACCCTTTTTAGAGAGCACCTTGTGTCATCACTGGTATTCAGTGATTCATACACACAATATTATTGTCACCGTTATTTTGACCTTTTACACCCAATGGAATCTGCATCGGCGGGTAGTCGAGACGGGTTGATCTCTGGCGTTGACCTTTTGTATTTGTATATTTTACCTAATTGCTAAGTTCATAATAAGCATGAAGAAACTAATGATGGTCAACCATGTTAAAGATTTTCTTGACACAACTATTGTTGTTGAAACAATTTACTAAAGAAATGTTCGGATCACTAAATGTAAAGATACTACTCTCTTCCCAACCCGTATCACAATAAGAAATTGTTTATTATATGATAAGGTGTATTTCCATGTTACTGTTAAGACTAAGTATAATATCACAAAGTTGACGAATTTAAGATGAAAAACAAAAACTCTTAATGAATCGGCCTCATTGCTTAAATGAGCACACTGTTCACCATGCAATTGTTACAGATGTTCATCTTTATGAGAAAAGAAATGAATCACATGACTTATAAGCATTCATCAAAAATAAAAACTCTTTAATATAAAAGCATATAATTCATTCGTTTTTTGCAACCTTTCATATGACAACCTTTCATATTCACCCCCTGGGGTATTCATATGTTCATCTTAAAAAGAAAGAAGAAAAGCTTCAAAATGAAAAGGGAGTGACAAAGTCAAATAAGGCGTATAACTTGAACTGAATATTGTTCGATATGGCAAAACTTCTAAAAATCAAATTGAAAATGCCATGATAAAACGGCCTGATAAAAAATTACTAAATAGTAAAAACATACCCAGTGCCATTGCTAGAATGGCAGTGAAGATTAGCACGTCCTTCATGATGTCCACTACACCTATGTCTAACGCGCGTGTTTACACTCCACCTACAGAACACCTGGTACAGTATAGGGCAAAAACAAGTTGCTCTGGACACGTTTGTGCTTACACAGTCCACACGCCTTAGCAAAAAAACCTCAACGCTGCGATGGTTCTGTAAGTGCTCTCTGTGTACAGCTCCACGAGTCGGACAGACCGATGAAAGTTACAGCAGCTTGTTTGAGGTACGTGTCAACGACGACCAAGTTGGTTTAAACATGACCAAGGTTCTACAGATATTGTCTGATTTCTTTCTCGTTTCTAAGTCATCCTCTCCCGTGTATGTAAATGAAAAATTAAGGAGCTATTTGGTTACATTAACTTGAGTTACTTTAGCACTGCTTAACTTTGATAGGAGACATTAGACACCAATACTCAATCAACAATATGATTATTTGTGACTACAAAAGACAGTGGATATGTAACCATGACATTGACATTATATTATCTGGAGATGGTGTTTATCTGGAACATTGTCATCTTATGAGGTTATCGAAATACTGTTTGTGTTTGTTTGTTTGTGTTCATATGTTACTCGGCATTCAGCGTATATATGTTGTTCGTATTTTGGGGGCGGCTTGGTAGCCTTGTGGTTAAAGCGTTCGCTCGTCACGCCGAAGACCCGGGTTCGATTCCCGACATGGGTACAATGTGTGAAGCCCATTTCTGCTGTACCCCGCTGGAATATTGCTAAAAGCGACGTAAAACAATACTAACTGACACTGTTCGTATTTTTAGTATATAAAAAAAATATTAATAAAAATTACCCTACCACATTTCCTCGACATTGTGTGGATCTGTTTAGTGCCTATTAAAGATACGTTATATCGAATGGGGGTATTGAACGAGTTATTGTTCTTTTCATCAAGACCGTTACCTGGAAATGACGTTAACATTTTGCATGGTAATGATGTTTATCACAGTGTTCTGTAAATAGTGTTACTAAATTACCCTTTCCACATTGATAAAGGAAAGAGTGCCGTCATGACCTCTTTTCATTATCTCGACTGTCTTTCCTTCCACTTCGAGATAACAGGACTGACTGTGTTACGACTCATCATCATTTTTCTTTTACAGCCAAGGTCATTGTGACTTTCAAGAACTTTCAAGAACTGTATAATGTATAGAAGTGACCGTTTGATGTGTAGTTATTGTAGCTTGTGTGACAAATGATGTGCACATCTTTTCATTCTGCATGTATTTTTCAAATCTATCAATATGACAGTAGTAGTGACAGGAAGTGTTACTAATGGCTTCCGTGATGTATTTGATTCGGGGACATTGTCTTGACAGATATTGAGATGTATCACGTGGGATGATGAATGGTGTGTGTATATGCGTACATCAGAATAAATAAAACCCATCCAATTTTCCTTAATAATACGTTAGAAGGGGATTAATGCCACGGGGCTCAGTCGGGGAGTACTGCGAAATGATAGACAAAAGGAACAAAGAGACAGCAACATATGTACAGCTCATTGTTGACATGTCTGTTATATTTTATCAGTGGCATATAAACAATGAAAACTATTTTTTCTCGATATCGTTTAAGCAGATGCAACAGGCATGACCCCGTATAATGATCCTTATTGCCACTGATCCGCTCGATCTACGGATAACTCGAAATTCGACTATCCCAGAAACTCCGACTTATCGAGACCTCAATGTATTACATAATACTGATTTCCTAAAGACTACAAAATCTTTTCCGAAATCATAAGAAATCTCTGAGTTCATTGGCCGATTCCAACTATACTTTTAATACAAAAATAAAACAATGATATAAATTACCCTTCCTCATTTCTTCGACGTAGTGCGGTTCTGTTTAGTGCCCATTAAAGATACGGTAATCTCGAATCGTGGTATTTCAAGCGCATTATAGTTCTTGTCAACAAGACAGTTACCTAAGAATGGCGTTGATATTTAGGGTGGTCATTTCGAGATGATGAATATCTCAAACACAGTGTTCTGTAAATAGTGATACTAAATAAGCCTTTCCAACTTCATGATCTCAATTTTACATTCTCTATTTCTTTTCTTACTGATTTGATAAAAGCTACAAAACATTTTCATACTTATAAGATTTGTTTGGGGTTTTTTGTTTGCTGTTTAACGACGCACTCAGCAATATTTCAGCCTTATGACAGCGGTCTGAAAATAATCGAGTCTGGACCAGACAATCCAGTCATTGATATCATGAGCATCAATCCCCACAATTGGGATAAGATGCGTGCATCAACCATTTCAACGAGCCTGCCCACCCTATCCCGTTAGTCGCCTCTTACAGCAACCATGATCATAAGAAATCTCTGTTATAAGCAGAGTCCATTGTCCGATTCCAACTATATTATAAGCATTATATGTTTCTGAAGTACTATCAAATGGTGATGGATAATCAGTGTTCTCGAAAAGGTGAGCAGTTTTTAGTTGATTCTTATGCTAGGCATACCTATGTCATATAGCTTTCATCAGAAAGCCTGCGTCGAGTGATCGATTACGTTTAGCAAATTGCCAAGGTGTTAATTTTCTTTATGCTGTAACAATTAAGCGATAATGATAAACTAAATGTGACCAGCTCAGGCAGTTAAAAAGGAGACCATACGGTGAATGTCAAACACAAAATGTCTTATTGAAACGATCATCACAATGTAGATGTACTTGCTTTCCTTCCAATATGTGTATAGAAAAGAGAACGAGAGAGAGAGAGAGATCAACTGGCTGAGCGGTATAGTTTGACGTTATATTTGGCACGTCTCTGTCTGAGGGTCACGTCCTCGGAGATGTTTTGATAACATGACAGACGAGGTAAATGTTTTATGCTGTATTCACAAATACAACAATATGATGACCTAGCTGGGAACATCAAGGGTTTACCAATCAATCTTCGATAAGTAAGGTTTAGATCTAGATATGACAGCGTCTTTGTTTCAATTTCATCTTCCATTATGTTTGAATCTGTTTGTGGAAAGGTCGAATATTAATGTATTAATATTTTTGAAAGTTTTATCTGTTCATTATCATATGATATCAGTATAATAATAAAATATTTTTAGCATCGTATATCTACTATCATATAAAATATATTACTCAGGTTCTTCGCAGTAAAATGTGTTCATGAACTGTTACAGCAACATGACCTACATCTGGCGATGGCCTACTAAAGTCAGTATGACGCCATACCCATAACACATAAACAAGTCTTAATTCACAAATCTCGTCACATCAAAGCCTCCAGCTCGTCTTGTGTCCGTGTCACATGTAAGCCTCATCTCTGTCAAAAGCTGTAAGGCAAGTGACACACAGAGCTAGTATAGAACTGATTGGACGACCTTGGTTCAAGACGTGATACTCAAGGCTTAATCATCGTGCAAGGATATGTATCCGACTGTATGATGTGGTGTGTGTGGGGTGTTCAATGGTCCACCTTAGGGGATCCTACTTTATATGTAAATACCACGAGGGGTAAAGAACAAGCTGAAATCATCACACAAATGTTTGTGAGCTGTCATTATTTTCTTTGTATTTTGGAAGGATGTATTTTGGAAGGGTGTTTTGGAAGCTTGGACAACAAACTTGTCCAAAGAGAAACTGAAAACTGGTCAAGATATTATGAGACAGTCTATATGGTATAATAGCAGAATACAAATAGGAAATAGCCCAATATTGTATAAACATTGTTCAAGCAGAGGTGTAACCTTTATTGGGGATTTAGTGGATGATAAAGGTAAATTTTATGTATTTTGATGCTTTTGTACATGTGTATGGAATCCAAACAAATTATATAGAATATTATGGAGTTGCAAGTTATAAATGCAGTCAAACAATTTTGTAAGGTAAATGAATACAATGTTTTCAATTCTATATCTCCTCGACCTACCATGCCAATCAATATATCACATCTTCTAAACCAAAGTATAGGTAGTAAAGAATTTTACATGACCCTATCAGCACAGGAGTTTGTTAAATTTCATGGCATTGAAAAATGGGAAAGTATACTAAATAAGACATTTAGTGAAACAAATTGGCAAAAACATTTATTGATGGCAAAAAGATGCAATCAAAGTGAGGATATTAGATGGTTTCAGTGTAAGGTTATTCACTACATTCTCACAACTAACAAATATTTATATAAAATTGGATATGTTGATTCTCCTATGTGTACTGTCTGTACAAATTGACCTGAAACTATAATCCATATGTTGTATGATTGTGAACATGTAAGAAAGGTTTGGGAGAAACTGTATATTTGGATAAAATCCGTTGTGGAAGGAACCATTGATTTAAACAGAAAATGTTTTGTTTGAATTTCAAGGCAAACATAACAACCCACTGAATATTGTACAAGTAATAAAACAAGTAATATACAGACATTGAAGAAAGGATTACTGCCACATTTTGAACGCATACAGCATGAAATAATTAGTTATTGCAATTCTATAAAGGTAATGTCATTCACAAATTGATTGTAACTATGCAAACTTTTTTAGTTTCTGGTCTTCCTTCCACACTTTGTTAAAAACTGATACAGTGGTACACTGATACAATACGTTGACTTTACAGGCAAGAAATATATGTATGAAAAGATGAACATTTCTTGAATACCACGTTCCACAATTGAATTGAAATGACATGTATAAATAAATGCTGTACCTGCTGAGATGAATAAAGAGAATAAATATATTTTCTTTGTTTTGCTATACCATATTATTTCTTAAAACTCCAAGACAATCCCAAGAAATAAAGGATGTCATTGCGAAGCAATCCCGTATATAAAATAGAAGAGAAAAATAAGACAAGATGTAAACAATTTTATTGGCAAACACGTAGAATCAATGTAGTGAAGACACATATTCTTGACGTGCTATTGAAAAAATAGTGTCCAGGGAAGACCCTTCCACAATGTCCATGGATATTAGAATCTGTTATTGAATCCACTCCGGATGGGGTTCGTATCGACGCACTCCAGGTAGCAGCTGAAAGGGTCGACACAGCAAGATTTGCCTGAAATTGAAACAATATATTGTGTTATTCAAATTAGTTACAATGGCTGGACGCAAACCCTGTTAGGTCGCAGTTGTATGTGGTCAAAGTCTAGCCAAAGTATCAGCCCTGATTTTGCATTTTTATCTATTTCCTCAGATCCCTATAACACCAATAAATAAAAAACACACAGAAAGACTGAATGGTAAGGTGTACTGTCACTTGGAACAAGTTTCTTTCTATCAGGACGTGTTATTCTAATGACCATTGTGACGTAGCTGAACTGAACTTTATGTAGACGTTAGCGACCCCTGTATGGTGGTATGGAGCCTCGAACGTTGAATTCATATCGCCCACAAAGGGGGATGTTAACATACGTACACCACGTGTGCCCAGCACGATGCACTTTACACAATAAGGTGAAACACTGAAACAAGGCTTCCCCCCAAAAACACACACACACACACACACACACACACACACACACACACACACACAAACTAGTGGTGTTAGGATTCGTAAAAACATGATCAAAATGGAATAATGATTAAATTCCTCCTTCAACGACAAAGTATGATCATGTTTTGACAGATTTTAGAGAGGACTCAAGCAATTATACGGTTGATATTGATGCCGTATCGTACAGACAACAGAAAAGGCTGCAAATTATGTTTATATCCTACAAATAATCGAAATTACTCCAAATTATGTCGTAATCCTACAGAAAACAGAAAAGACTTCAAATTATGTCGTTATCCTACAAAAAACAGAAAAGTCTCCAAATTAGGTCGTTATCCTACAGAAAACAGAAAAGGCTCTAAATTATGTCGCTATCCTACAGAAAAGAGAAAAGACTCCAAATTATGTCGCTATCCTACAGATACCAGAAAAGACTCCAAATTATGTCGTTATCCTACAGATAACAGAAAAGACTCCAAATTATGTTGTTATCCTACAGATAACAGAAAAGACTCCAAATTATGTCGTTATCCTACAGATAACAGAAAAGAGTCCAAATTATGTTGTTATCCTACATATAACAGAAATGGCTCTGAATCATGTGGATGATTACCAAGAATACCTCATGTATATATTAACACAAGACACGCACTACAACGTTATTCAAATGCGTTTTCAACAAACTGTGAGCAACTAATATCATCATTTCAAGTTTTCATGTTTCGTCGGATTCGTACATATGAAGTAAACATTTTCCTAAGCTCAGATTCAAAAACTTATTTTGTTTACCATTTAATGTTTTGGGTATTGATTGTATATTCATTAATTTAAAGCTTTCACGCTCGGAGGATTTATTGCATTGGAAGAACAAAATAATATTTACCTATGCAACAATCAGTATCAGTATAGCATTGGTCGAAACTGGAACGACTGTTCAATGGACATTTGTGCTGGGGGCAGAAATTCTCGAACCGCTGGGCCCCTGCAAAGAATGACATCACAACATGGATAAAATGATAAAATACTATTGCATATATTAACAGCAGATGGTAGCTGCTGGCATACATACCGCATAGTTAATCATACCGAAGAACTCTTTAAGTGTTGTTTTTTTTAAATACAATTATGTTAAAGATACACAACAGCATTACTATTATATCCGGACAACACTAACAGTATATATACAAAAAAAACTACTTTGCTTTGAATCGGAAATGGCTCTGAATAATATAATTCTGAAACACCGAAATTCGCGCGAAAGGCAATATAGGTTTCGTAAATAATGACACCAGAAATGGACTTCAAACATTGTACCATGTGGGGTCTTCGTCGTGACGAGCGAACGCCCTGTTTATCAGTACGATAGTGTACTTAATATTTTACTACTGAAATGTTTACTCACCAACACATGCTACAAGCAAGACGAAGACAAGTACTGCAGACTTCATGGTTGTAATGATATTGCTAGCGTTAAGACAACCATGTTTATATACATCCACTGACATCAAATACAGACTAGCTCAAAAATACATGACATCACTAAAGTATTATCAGCTCGAAAACGTGTCTTGTCATTTAAGGCCAAAATACCAAGTGCTATGTTAACATGGATGAAAAACGCCAGGCTATTGAATATTGTATTAATACCTGACTGGGATACATTTTGCCTACACATGTTTTCATCAAAAGTGTGACTTTCTTTTGTTTCGCAAAGTAAGAGATCCGGCTGTCGGCATAAGCAGTTTACGTCAACTTAATGACATACGTGGCTGACAGAATGACAGATATTTGGTACATCATGACGAAAGTTCGTGATGGATGGATGGTTGACGAGAAGTACCAACGTCATACACAAGACTACACTATTGTTGTGATGTAATTACCATCCTCAGGCGGTTAACTTTTAAGTACTAAGAAATAAATAATTATATTTTGTTAACAAAAGCGACCTACCCTTTCCATTTTCATAAGAAATCTCTGCTAAAATCACAGTCAATTGTACGATTCCGTCCATGTCATAAAACGTGTTTATGAATCATTATTAGATAATAATACTACCAGGTGTTTGCGAAAAATTGAGCGTACCCTGCCCCACCGGTGGCACCAGCCATCAGCACATAAAAAGGTAAGTCAGTTGTTCACCTGAAAAACACGGGAACATATATACAGTAAACTACGGTTATAACGAACTCAAAGGGACTACTAATTTTAGTTCGTTATAACCGTAGTTCGTTATAAGCACATATACAGCATAACTACAGCAAATAGTTGGGACCAAAAAGTAAGTTCGTTATATCCGTCAGTTCGTTATAAGCGTGTTCGTTATAACCGTAGTTTACTGTATGTTTAAAACAAGGAATTGCATCGCTTTACCTTTATGCGTTCTTGCCTTAAACAAACGATCTAAACGCTTGCCGTAAAAGGCGACCAACGGGATCGGGTGGTCAGGCTCGCTGACTTGGTTGATGCATGTCATCGATCCCAATTGCGTGGATCGATGCTCATGTTGTCAATCACTGGATTGTCTGGTCCAGACTCGATTATTTACAGACAGCCGCCATATAGCTAGAATACTGCTGAGTGCGGCGTTAAACAACAAACAAACAAACAATATAACTACTACAGCATGAGGTTAACATCTATTATGCTATGTCAATGCAAGAATACTGAACTTAATTAAGGACAGTGCTCATGCATTGTTCTGCCTATTTAGTGTTATAATTCGGCTCCTGATTAGATTAAATAGGGTTTATTCACAATTTTTTATCGATCACACCCGCAACTGTCTCATTTATGCATTTACCTATAGCAATGCAGCTGTTGTTATAAAACCTGTGACTATATCACAGAAACATTTTGTAACTTTATGATTTCCATGACGCTGCTGCCGACAAACATTAAAACTGCTTGAAATAGAAATGTTGATATGAAAGGGTGAGGGTGACGGTGATGCGATACAGTACACTAAAGTGACTTTGGGTGTCGACTTGATTAATGTAAATATAAGCCCAGTCATAAAACAAGACATTACGTTCGCTGCGTGTTGGTGACTTGATGACGTCTTCCTGCGTTGTTTTATTATCGCAAGGTAGACGCCATTTGTTAATTTTGCACCTATGTGTAAAAGTACTGTAGTGTGTGTTGTATAAAGAATCAAACGTTACGAGTTTCTTAATATTGTAACCATGTGTTTAAGTTACTGCAGTGTATGTTGTTCAAAGGATCAAACGTTACCAGTTTGTAAATATTGCACCTCTTTTTTCAAATACTGTAGTGCGTGCGTGTTCTGTCAAAGGATCAAACGTTACTAGTTTGATAATATTGCATCTATGTATTGAAGAACTGTATTGTGTTTTGTTTAAAGGATCAAGCGTTACCAGTTTCTTAATATTGCACCTCTGTGTTTAACTACAGCTGTGTGTGTTGGTCAAGGGATGAAACATTACCAGCATGTTAATATTGAAACTATGTGTTTAAGTACTGCACTGTGTGTTGGTCAAGGGATCAAACATTACCAGCATGTCAATAGTACAACTATGTGTTTAAGTACTGCATTGTGTGTTGGTCAAGGGATCAAACATTACCAGCATGTTAACATTGCAACTATGTGTTTAAGTACTGAACTGTGTGTTGGTCAAGGGATCAAACATTACCAGCATGTTGATATTGCAACTATGTGTTTAAGTACTGCACTGTGTGTTGGTCAAGGGATCAAACATTACCAGCATGTTAATATGCAACTATGTGTTTAAGTACTGCATCATGTGTTGGTCAAGGGATGAAACATTACCAGCATGTTAATATGCAACTATGTGTTTAAGTACTGCACTGTGTGTTGGTCAAGGGATCAAACATTACCAGCATGTTGATATTGCAACTATGTGTTTAAGTAATGCACTGTGTGTTGGTCAAGGGATCAAACATTACCAGCATGTTAATATTGCAACTATGTGTTTAAGTACTGCACTGTGTGTTGGTCAAGGGATCAAACATTACCAGCATGTTGATATTGCAACTATGTGTTTAAGTACTGCACTGTGTGTTGGTCAAGGGATCAAACATTACCAGCATGTTGATATTGCAACTATGTGTTTAAGTACTGCACTGGGTGTTGGTCAAGGGATCAAACATTACCAGCATGTTGATATTGCAACTATGTGTTTAAGTACTGCACTGTGTGTTGGTCAAGGGATCAAACATTACCAGCATGTTGATATTGCAACTATGTGTTTAAGTACTGCACTGTGTGCTGGTGAAGGGATCAAACATTACCAGCATGTTGATATTGCACCTACAAATGCATGTGTTTAAGTACTGAAGTGTGTGCTGTTCAAGGGATCAAGGGAACTACTCAGTCCTGGTGTATTTTCCTCTCCTTACAGTATTTATACATCTGTGCAAGTTACTCATAGGAATGTATTTATCGGTATGACTGTGCTGTGCCTATGAGCACTATCAATGTGTTGTTTAAGGTAGATATAGTCAGGATTTAAGCGACTTATTTATACTTAGCTTAACATCTATTTTGACGACTCTTCCGTTTCCTAGACATCAATTAGGGCTTTACGTCATTAGGCCTGTTCATGCCTCACAAATACGCCCAAGGTTGATCGTAAAACAAAACACCAAACAAATTTACATGAGCTGTAGTTGTGAAATTCATGGTCGATGCCATTATAATGCAGAAAAGATAAATGAAGTCTTGTCACGGACACATCAGAAGCATTCAATTGAGATTACCAACGTCAGCAACAATTCCTTGTCCTTGGTTCGAATATGTGTAATCAAACGTCTATTTCAGCGCTGTAGAAGGCGTTATGCCTCGGGCGTACGACAATGCATTGTTATAGTCTATTTATAGTCATGACGTAAGGCAGTGGCCAGTAGGTGACTCATTCATCTGCATCCCGATCTCACATTAGTTACTCTGTGAGAAACAGGCGGATGAAGAGTGATGAAATGAACACAACCGCTTCCATGGTTAAGTGGATGTAAGTGAACGTCTGCCAGGTTTTTTTATCCCACGGTCTCGTCATAACAAAATACGTTAAAAGACGCTACTTGTTGTTATCCTGCCTGGCGCTCGGTAATAAGTTTGTTTGCTTGTTTGTTTGTTGTTTAACGCCGCACTCAGCAATAATACAGCCATATGACGGCGGTCTGTAAATAATCAAGTCTAGACCAGACCAGACCAGACAGTGATTGACATCATGAGCATCGATCCACGCAATTGGGGTACGATGACATACATCAACCAAGTCAGCGAGCCTGACCACCCGATCCCGTTAGTCGCCTCTTACAACAAGCATAGTCGCCTCTTACAACAAGCATAGTCGCCTTTCACGGCACGACAATGAGAGGACAGAGCAAGGACATGTGTCAGTGTACTGTGTTTGAGCGGGGTTAAAACTGCGGCATGGTATCTCAGTATACCATGGGATAGCACAGTAAAACCGGCACAAGTCCGGAATGGTACAAGAGTCACAAGCACATGTGCCTGTACGTCGGTGTGTGAATGGAGTAATCTTAAACGCGTCATTAAACCCCATTTCACCTTACCTCACCGTCCACTTACATACACGTACGTGGTAGGTAACATCGTTTAGATTACTGTGCCGTTTTTATCAGTTCTTACAAATATCACACACACACACACACACGCACGCACGCACGCACGCACGCACGCACACACACCTACACACACACACACACATACACACACAGAAACACACATACTCGCCATAATACAAAAGAAGTGTTAAATAGCCAACCGAACAGATATAATCACGTGTACATAAGTTATGGTAACGTATACACAAGTTCTGGTCACGTGTGCATAAGTTATGATAATAGGTACACTAGTTCTGATCACGTGAACACAAGTTATGACCACAATCCCATGGTTGATTGCTCCGAGAAAAATGAAATGTCCTCATTTTGAGACAAATACCATACCGTGTTGCATAATTCGAACGAACACTAATTACCCGCTGGATATAAAAATACAGAGATACATTTAAAATTTTTATTGAACAATATCTGACGATACGGTAACGATATATGATTATACCACAACAATATATGAGAATACAAAAACAATATATGATTAAACTACAACAACACATGATTATACCACAACATTATATGAGTATACAAAAACAATATATGATTATACTACAATATATGATTATACTACAACCCATGGTTATACAACACATGATTATACTACAACATTATATGAGTATACAAAAACAATATATGAGTATACTACAATATATGATTATACTACAACCCATGGTTATACAACACATGATTATACTACAACAATATATGCTTATACTACAACAATATATGAGAATACAAAAACAATATATGATTATACTACAACACATGATTATACTACAACATTATATGAGATTTCAAAAACAATATATGATCATACTACAATATATGATTATACTACAACCCATGGTTATACAACACATGATTATACTACAACAATTTATGTTTATACTACAACAATATATGAGTGTGCAAAAACAA